CCATCAACCTGTGGCACCCTTAAAAATAATCTCTACTTTAAAACATTTTATAAAAATAATCCCTACTTGAAAGATTCACAATAATAATCTCAACTAGATCATTGTTTTACAAAAATAAATAGAGTGCTAACAGTGTTATGTTTTTCATTATTTTTATTTTAAATATATTGAATCAAAAAATATATACAAAGTATAAACATTAACAATATTATATTTGAGTTTAAACTTGTTTATAGCAAAAAGTTAATTTAATATTCAATATTTTTCATAAAACATGATAGAAATATTTGAATACTACATATATAGTACCAAGGATGTTAAAATCGTATTTTTTAATCGAATCGATAGATGTTTTTGAAAATCGAATCGTAAAATCGAATCGCAAATCGTAAGATTTTATCAAACATATTTTAATAATTATAAAATAAATAAATATTAAAATTAAGTTGCAAGTTAATGGTATTATATCATTTCATTACATAAAACTATACCTACAAGGTGAAAAACAAGATTTGTAAACTGTTTTTATAATGTAAATGTAGTAAATAATAACATTAAACATATTTAAAACATAAAAATAATTAAGTAACACAAGAATTTATTACTTTTTAAAATACACTATTCATATTATTATTATTATTGGAATGATGTATCAATTTGTAGTTGTTAATTTTAATAAATTTGAACCATTTTCACTAACAACTTATTACAATTTTGCTACGATTTTATACGATTCTACACGATTTTAGTACGATTTTTTTACGATTTTGTACGATTTTATGATTTTACGATTTTACCTGCGATTTGAATTGCTTTATTAATGTAGAATCGTAAAATAGTACGATTTTAATCGAGATTTTAACAACCTTACATAGTACATACTCTTCAAATTCTCTATTCACTTTCATTCTTTATCCATATTTTATTTATATTCATTTTTTTTATTCTTTATAATAGAGATTTCAAAATAGTTTTAGTAATACTACATTAAATAGTAATGCAAATTATGTAGAATATTGAATATTTAATACAAATATTTCTATGATATTTTATAAAAAAAATTAAATATTAAATTAAATTTATCATAGAAAGAGATTAAACTCAAATATAATATTATTAGTTTTTATACGTGTATTTGCTTTGATAGATTCAAAATTAAAAAAAATGGAAAAATTAAAACAATTAACACTCAGATTATTTTTGTGAAACAATTAACTACTAGGGATTGTTAATGTGAAATTTAGCAGTATGGATAATTTTTGTAAAATGTGTAAAAGTAGAGATTATCGTTGTCAATTTCGCCATGATATAATGTTTAGTTGTAAGAAGAAATTAAAGTAACGAAGATAAATGATAGAAAAAAAACTTGAGTAGATCGTTGGAGTGGATTATGAGTACACCAATACTAAGAGCGAATTAGAAATGAGTGATCGTCAACATTAGTTGAGATTGTGTGTGTGATATAAGTAGAAATAGTTTTTAGTTTTTTCTTCTTAATACTTTTTTAATTTTTTTTTTTGTTTTTCTTTTAAAAAAAATTGGTAAGTGTATATGTTGGGAGACGAGAATGTGATGTTTAAAATAATAATTACAAAAAAATGTAAACTTATTGAATTGGTTAGGCATGGACTCGGTTCGGGCCGCCCAAACCGGAACTGGCCCGCCCGCTACTGTGCGGAACCGGCCCAGCTCAGAAAACCGGTTCCGGGCTTAGGCCCGGTCCCAGGGGGTAACCGGTTCCGGGTCATGAAAAAGGTGAGCCAGTCCGAGCCCGATTCGGGCCTTTTTTTTTTGTTTTTTTGGATTTCGGGTTTGGGGGTGGAAATAAATAAGAAAACACAAAAAAATGAACCGGAACCAGTAGACTCCCGGGCCGGTTCTGGGGCCTTACCCAAAACCATCCAAGCCCGGCCGGGCCCAGGCCCGAACCGGAACCGGACTGGGCCCGGTCCACCCCTTCTCTTGGTTACGCCCATGACAAACGCAAATTATAATGTACAACTGGTTGTACCGTGCGCACAATACAAATGGGCTTTATGTTCGCAGATCACGCATCGCTAGCTTCCATTGGAGATCTTCACCTATACAGACTTTGACTCAACCACATCTTTGACTCATGTGGCAAATATGTATACAAGTCATTTTTATATCGATGTAGGCCTGTAGGGTGAGTATATCAATTAATCCATCCACATTTCCTTTGGTTAATTAAGTTCATTTCCTAACTTTGAGTATTAATACATGATTCACCCTAAATTAGTTTTAACGAATATTTAGTGCTAAAATGAAGTACTCTAAATGTAAGTTCTAAATATACTTCGTATAGAATTTATCTAATACAAAAGTATACAGAGACCGCTTAAATATATTGTTAATTATGGTGTCTCGAGAACAATCTTTAACAAAGATAGTTTTGTTTTGATCTCATGTTAATACTCCTACATCTTTATTTTGGTCCAAAACATTATAACTAAATTTACCTTTTCAAAGGTGTTTGTACTTTTTCTTGAAAAATGGTACAAAATTACATTCTTTTTATGGAATAGGTACTCTAGATTGAAGTAAAGAGTTTTTTTCCAAATAAAACATATGTACAAAAATATAACTAATAATTAGTATAGTATAATCTCATAATACTTTAAGAGACCGTTTGGTAACATTCAAATTGGCTTAATCGGTTGATTCTGCTGAAATTTATGAAATTTTGGCTGAAGTGGCTAGATTGGCTGATTATGATTATTTAGGAAAAAATTATATTTAAAATATTTTTATAAATAAGATAAAGAAAAAATTATATGAAGAAATAGTTAAAATGGTCATCTACGATTACTTCAGCCAATACAGCTAGGGCTGGACTCGGTTCGGGCCGGGCCCAGTTCGGGCCTTGAACCGGCCGGGCCTCGGTTCACCAAAAGGAGGGCCCGGGCCCGAACCGGCAGGTGACCGGTTCCGGGCCGGTTCCGGGCCAGACCGGGCCGGTTCCGGGCCGGTTCACCCGCCCCATTTTTTTTTTTTTGGCTTCTCTTATTTAACCCCCTCCCCCTCAACCCCAAACCACCTCAAATGGCCCAAAATACCTAATCCAACCCAAAAATTAAAAAAAATTCAAAAAAAAAATTAAAAAAAAAAAAATTATTCCGGCCCGGACCGAGCCCGAACCGGCCGGGCCGGTTCACCAAATAGAGGGCCCGGGCCCGGAACCGGTATCCACCGGGCCGGTTCGACCCGAACCGCCGGTGGACCGGGCCACCGGGCCGGGCCGGTTCACACAGTAATCGGGCCGGTTCCGGTTCGGGCCGCCCGGCCCGAGTCCAGCACCAAATACAGTCAGAAAAGTAATTACAGTCTTACTTTTTCTTATTACGAAGTATTACACAATCCAACGCGCAAAATCAAAAGTTACGTGTTTGGTAAAAAATTGATTGATAAATCTGATAGATCGAAAAACAGAGTCACCAAATGGGATCTAAGTGTAAGAATTGAACATAAATTATTATAACCAAGTTACTACTATAATCACTACACTTAACATGTCACCTTTTTATAAATAACATCTATTATGATCATATGCATGTAATTTTTCTAAAACAAATTCTTATTATATTGGTAATTTATAAAATAATGCTAGGCACTAGTAGAGTCGATTTAAATATTTACTCTGATTCTTCTCAAATCACCACACTTATCATTTCTCGGTCTTATCAATCACGTAATATCTTTTTACTTCGCGCTGATAATAATAAGATAAAGTAAAGTTGAAGTTACTTTTATGATTGTATTGGCCGAATTTACCATAAATGACTATTTTAACTATTTTCATATATTTTTTTTATTTTATTAATAATATAAATATTAAATATAATTTTTTCATAAATCAGCAGAATCAGTTAATGCATCCGATTTGGGTAAACAGGCTTCAAATTGATTTTGTGCACAAGTTACATGTCAACACTATGAGAAAATGTTCTTCCATTAACTTCTCCATCAATATTAGTATATTACGGAGTAGTATATTACTCCGTATATGGCAATAGAAGGCTCACTAGCCAGTTAGGCAGTGGGGACTGGGGACACTTGGAATTGTTATGACTATCTTTCTAAAAGAAGTTGGACACTGGAGTGGTTTGTATTGCCTATTTGGTTGGGTGTTAAAGAGTGTGAAGGAATGCACGTAAAAGAGCTATGAAATCCTCCACGCTTTGTACTCCCAACCTCTCATGGGTTTTTAGTGAATCTACTTTTTCCGAATTTCTTCACCATCTTCGTTAAATTTATTTTTCCTATTTAAGCCTAGTCTGATTTGTTATAATCTGAATGATAATTGTTCTATGTGGATGTCTAGTCTGATCTGAGATTGAAACTAGTTCGTTTAAAATTTAAAAATATCTTTGGGGTGTTTGACTATCACTAGTAGCTATTAGCTGATAGCCAATTCTATCAGCGGATTTAGTTAGATGTTTTTACTAGCCGCTATCATTAATGGATGAAAATAAAATGTTTATAATTTTGATGTTCATGATTAGCCGTTGAGACAGAAAATGACTATTAAGAATATTATATAAAAATTTTGCCAAAAAAAAAAGAATTTTATATAAAATTAAAAATATATGTATCTAAGGATGTTTTACTTGGACTGTTTTCAGTCCCAGACCAGACCAGGCTTCCATAGTTATAAAATACATAGAGACCAGACATAACTAGACCAAACTTAAACAGACCAGACTTGACTTAAACAGACCAGACCAGACCAGCAAATTTCAGTCTAAGTAAAAACATCATAACTTAGCTTTTCACGGAGTATTTTTATTTGTTTGATAAGTACATTAACTACTACTATTATTTTGTGTGACCACTGCTACTTTAATATACGTGCATGCACGTACAAAAACACATTCATTTCCTTTTAGTATTGATGTTTTAAATACGATTACTTTTAGTAGTTTTTAAAACATATTTTGCCATATATACTTAACACACACAAGCAGACGCAAATGGCCACGCAGTTAACAGACCAAACTGCTTTAAGAAGAGGATTTCCTGTTTTCCTCAAATGTTCAGAGTCCTGAATATATTTTCCTTGTAGAGAATGTTTTCCGGTGCAAGGCATAAGAAAAACCTAAATACCATTTTCTGGGAAAATAGAACTAATGGAACCCAAGTGGCATAGACTTCAACAATATATCATACACCTCATATTGCCCCGAAGGCCATTGAGGATACATAGCTAGCCTTTTAGTTTACATGAACATAAGGGCTAGGAGAACTAAACTGGAGTGCATCAATAATCAACTGAGCTTGAGGTTTTATGGTAAGCAACTGGTAATAAAGAACTAGAATTCAAATGACCACTATATTACCATACCATGTAACAAGAAATGTATCAAACTATCACCAGGAAAAAAAATGAATTGGGAAACTACATAGAAAACTTACCATCTAGTTTGGGCCACAAAATAGAATAAGAAATTTCACCGGCAGCCTGCATAACAATTAACCAGTTATAAGTGTCATATTATGTGTTCATAAAAAGTTACTGATCTAGGTCTGGAAACATGATGAATGTATATACGAAGAGGATGTGTGGTGGCAAAAAACAATACATGAAAAAATTGTGCCAGGGAAAATACTTATTCAGATATTAGAATTATTAATATGATAAAATCAGAATCATTATTATCAGGAACCAGATGAAGTATAATATAGCAAATGCACAACATAGAATATACAAGCCAAATGATCCACTTCTGGTGGTACATTTATGCAAAGAACTCAGAGAGCCAGAACTAAGAAACCTTGGTTTGATGCTATTTTGCTATCAGCTTCCCTTAAGGCTCGTACAAGATGTATAATACGGTTTTGGAGTTTTGCATTTTCTGCATTGAGCTTTTGCACTTCTTTGAGACCCTGAAATCAAATCTTGATTTAAATTTTGCTACCAAAATTAATCACTCAAAAGGAAAACTATCATAATGAGCATTACAATACAGACCTTCTCTTTCTCTGCAACAAGTTCGACTTTCGCAGCATCCAACTTTTCCTGGAGTTCTCGAACCATTTTTACCAATTCCTCATTATTTCCAGAACCTGTTTACAATTTCTAAATATCAGTTACATGGTAAGAAGTCTTCTGAGAATGCCACCAGTGTTTTCAAAGAGGGGATGGTGAAGAAAGAAAGATACGTACTGTTCTTGATGACAAGGGAGGCTTCAAGTCTTGCCAAACGGTCCTGAAGTCCACAGAAGAATCAATAAAATCAAAAGTAGAATTGCAAATATAACTTAAATACCCTCATTCCATCTTTACTAATGTCTTTATTTTGTAGGTTTAATAGTTAATAGTTAATTAAACGCTTCAGACTTTCTATTAGAGACATGCTTAATCCATGTGCCTAAAGTCCTAAACCTTGGTAAAGGCGTAGAGCAATATATATGTCTCAGTAAACTCCACTCTTGTTATTGGAAGAGTCTCTTAGATAGGGTTCTCCACTTCTCCATCACCCTTCTGTTCTTTTCGCATTGAGGTGAGTATCTAGATAAATATGTAAATAGTACTACCTCCCTCTTAAATTAATTGTCAAATTTTCCCTTTTGGTTTGTCCGAAACCAAAGTTATGTTTCCTTTTTGGTAAAATCTACCACGTACAATTTACCCTGCTTTCAAGTTAAATATACAATTTATCATTCCACCTTCACTCATTTTTTGGTGTAAGGGGAGGGTCGCTTATGTTTTTTATGCTACTTCCTTAACCCGTGTGACCGCGTGTCCAAAAGTTCTATAATATTTATTTTGGGATGGAGGGAGTATGAGTCACTCCTGCTATGAACTTATTCCACTTTAGTTAATATAAGTGAATCATTCACCCTGATTAACTCCATTTTCCTAGCCTCCAAAATCAAGAGTAAACAGTGTGAATTTCATGTCACATGTTACATTTTTTTAACTTTAATCTGAACAAGGATAAAAACAAAGATTACTGAAGGTTATCCGAACAGAATCTTAACATTTGTAAACCTATTTTCCCCTAATCTGAGTTATTGAAGTGTATTCGTTAGACTCCTACCAAGTCCCAACTAAAGAACCTCACAATTCAACTCAGAATTCGAAAAACTGCAGCAGTAAACCGCGAAATGAAATATCCCAGTAAACTCTTCTAAATCGTCAGTAAATAACCACAATGTGAAAAGAACCTAATAAAAATCCAATTTTTTGGCTAATAACCATAATGGTAGTATCTAAATCGAAGTATGCACACTGACATCTGGGAAGAGAAGAAACATAAATATAAACATAAACAAGGTCAAACAAAATACTCCGTATGTTCATAATAAAACGGAACCAAAGGATAATAGTAATAATCGGGGGAGGAGGAGAACCTCAGCTTCTGAAGCTCTCTGGTAAAAGGGTTTCAAGGTTTCTTCAAGATTTTCTACAGCATTCGCCATGGATTGTGGACACGCTCCCCCGTCCTCTGCGTTTAGACTTTTTATGGCCAGTTTGTTTTGGGTTAACTATTATTGAAAGTTCAATTTTTAGTTAACTTTGCGTTAATTGTCTGTGTTTTTGTAATAATAATCTAGGTTATGACTTAACTTCATAATTTTCGAGAATCTGGAAACACCTCAAATTGAAGAAACTTCGAAGTGGAGGATTTTGGATGTTAAGTTCCGGTTCAACATTAAACAAGTTAGAGAACCTTCATCCAAACAATATTTATGACATTAACCTAGGTTCATCTTATTTATTTCCAAACACTATTTTAGGTTAACCCAGATTTTATTAAAATTTAGGTTTACTTTATTGCACTAGTTTACTTAAATTCACTTCATCCAAACATAACATTAGAGTTGTATGAAGAAATATTTTCTGAGCGCTTGAGGTTTTTTTGTTGGTCAATCTTCGCACAAAGGTTTTTTTTGGGATATTTACCGGAGTAAATGAATCTTTAATTACAAAAATAGGATTAAAGTCTAAAAATTTCCTAAATAGGAGTTATTATTTATAATTGGACAAAAACACCCTTGAAGCTTTGAAGACATACTGCCGCCGACCAGAACACAGGACTACCGCCGTTCGCCTGTCATCGCCAGACATCACTGTCGCCCCAAAAACTGGTCGCCGTTGCAGATCTGGTCGCCGCCGTCGCAGATCTCATGGGCGTCGCCGGAGATCTGGCCAGATCTAGCCTCCATCGGCCTTCAGCCGTTGCCCCTGTAGATCCAACCACCGTCACAGTTAATCTGGCGTCAGCCGCTACAAATGTGACCTCCTCAGTTGCAGTTCTAGCCGTTTCCAGCGTGGATGCCAAGATTTTTTCAGAATGCCATCTAAATGGCATTTTCATAGGAAAATACAAATTTTTTGAAGACTAAAAATGTCATTTTCCGAGTTTAACTTGGCAGTTTGTAATAATTAAAGAAGAAACAGAGCATGGGGAAGAGAGAACTAGAGAAGAGGGGGAATCGGAGGAGAAAGCCGATCTACGTAGAAGAAAAGTCGATCTCCTCCAGTAGCGGTGGTGGTGGACTTCGCAACGGTAGCGGCGACGACTTTGACTGGGCTTCTAGGTTTTTTATTCCTAGGGAAGGAGATGTGCAAGGAGAATGAATGATGTGTAGGGTTGGGGGAGAGAGAAATTATGTGCAGAAGGGGAAAAAATGTGCAGGGGAATAAAAATATACATAGTCCTATTTAGGAATTTCGGGAATAATTTAGTCCTATGTAGGACAATAACTCTTTATATAACTTGAAAAGTATCGAATTTCATATCTACGATGTTTCATTTTTTTGTCTTGGCTAACTCATGTGCCACCACCCCTCTGGAGCCTGGGATGACATTAGTACAACCCTTGCTTAGTTCCTTATAGGAGAAGCGAACCAGAGGCTACACAAATCACTCAATCCAAATAACGCCCCTAGGGCATGTTAATGGGTCGGTTTCAAGAAGAAAAACAGTGTTCCAAATAAGAACGTTTTAATTTACTTTATATTCCAAACTAGACAAAGTAGCCGTGCGATGCACGGGATATATCTAGAATTGCATAATAACTTGTTTAAGATTATGTTTTATGATGATATGTAATGTGTAATTTTGTCGAATAAAATAAGACAATAGAGTTTATATGTTGTAACGTTTATTATATACGTAGTAGTAGTTGTAGGAAAATTTGAATCGTATGAAGAAATTCGAAAAAGAAATATTAAAATAAATCATAAATTGATAATGTGTCACCATAAGCTCTAGGCGGAGAAACAATAAACTCTATGTGTCATGAAAGCTTATAAAATAGAACATTTATATATGTCGACAATGTAAAAAATAGTTTCACAAATTTTGAAAAACTTCATTATAAACCACATTATTAGTGGTGTTGATAGTGCGGCCCTCATCATCACATATAAGAATCTCCAACTCACTATTTGAGATAACCCTTTGACATGCCCACGTACAATTGATCATGCGTAAATACATATGTTGGAAGATATATGTCCACTTGACCCAGAGATTGTCCTTGGCTTTTGTTTATCACCATAGAAAATGAAACGATTATTGGAAATCGCTTGCGTTGAAATTTGAAAGGAATTTTGTCATCCGATGGAAATGATAGTCGATGAATCAAAACCTTTTGACTAATGATTTTTCCGGTTATAACCTTCGCTTCTAAAACAAATTTACATAATTGAGTAATAATCAAGCAAGTCCCGCTGCATAAGTCAGAGGGACTGGTCAATGTTTCTCATTAACCTAATAGGAACACCAACCTTTAGTCCCAATTTATGGTTCGGTACCCCAGATTCATTGATGGTGTTCAAAAACTCTTGTGTACGCACTTCACCGAATTCAGCGCCTAGGTTGCCTTCAAGTGAGCATGAGCTGTCAGAACTCAAATATGTTCTCATTTTTTCAGGCATCAATGAAATCATATAATTGTTTATAAGCTCTACAACATCATTTGTGGGTGTCAAAATAGCTCTTTAATTTGTTGAAAATGTGATGAATCAGCCATTTTTTTTCCAGAAATGACGAATAAGTAGTTCTAGCAATAATTGAGGCAATAGGATCACCTGAAGTAATAATAAATATATCATCAGGTGTATCAATGATGACCTCTCCATCTTTGACATTCCCAATATTTCCAGTCTCCTATTTTGAGCATCAAATCTGAGAAACTTTTCAATGATTTGAGCTAAATAATTTTTAAAACTTATTATGTCTACTTAGAAAGTGTTTGCAAGAGATTAAAAAGTGCTTTTGAGCTTTTGAATTTAAAAAAGTCAAAATGGGTGTTTTCAAATGACAAATTCTACTTAAACTAATCACTTAAAAGTTAAAAGTTGTAAGCATGTTGATAGGTGCTTTAAAGTGCTTTTCACTTTTTTATTACACCAATTATAGTTATTTTATCAAACACTACAAACTTTTACTTTTTAAAATGTTCTATGTTTCTCAAACACTACTAACTTTTACTATTAAGCATTTTCTCAAACAATCACTTTTATAAAGTAGAAGCAATCACAAACACTCTCTTAGGCTATCCACACTTTTGCCAACTTTCAAAGATCAAGAAAAAAGTGTTACAAATTGTTAATAATTTCTGGAAATGATAAGAATTTAAAATTAAGCTTATAAGAAATAGTAAAATTTATTTTTTGACATTTCCCCAACACTCTTTCTGGATTCTCAATACAGAAGGTGCACCATTTGACTAATTCAAGAGCAATAAATGTTCTATTCATGTAGATGTTCTAAATTATTAAAGGCACATATGGGTGGTAAATTACTATGCGCTTAGGTGAGCACACATTTCGTATGGGGGCGACACATATTGTATGAAACTTAAATTACATTTTTATCCTTATTTTGGGTGGCAATTTTGCCTCAAAAAGTTGTAGTCACACTGTTACTTTAAATATAAAGATAAAGATATAAAGATAAAGATTATGTAAAGATAAAGATTATCATCATCATCATTATTGTTGTTGTTGTTGTTATTATTATTATTATTATTATTATTATTATTATTATTATTTAATAGATAGATGTAAGGGCTGTATAATAATTATAGTAGTATTATATAGTGAATAAAGTTTATTTGCTAAATTAGTTCCGGCTATTATTTTTCACATGCATATATTGTAAATATATGGACAATAAATGCACTTCCTTTTGTTTCCTTTTCATTTCTTGGACTTACGGTATTTGTTGGCCTTACACAATATGGAGTATTCTTAAGCACTTATTGTCCTAAGTTATGACAATGAATACATTTGGGCGGATTTTGTTGGAAGTGTATTGCTAAGCATTAATTCCCTATTATTATGAGTCTAGTTTGGGCGGGATTTTTCCCTCCAATTGTTGTGCAAAGACTGTTACTTTATATTATATAAAGATCAGGACTCGATACTCAAAGGGCCTAGAGTCATGTTGCATATTGGGACTCAATGAGTCTCGAAAACGAACAAAGTAGACTTGTATAGATTTAGATCCACATAATTATAAAACTGTTTGATGGAGTATAATCAAAGAGAACTACTATGATAGGATCATACAATAGTAATTTTTTACTTGATAAGTACGAAGTATTACCGATGGATATCCCAAAAAAGAAAATTTCATTTCTACAAAAAGGAAACTACTTTTAACCAAAAAGTCATAACTATTATTGTACTTTTTATCTACTTTTTAGAGTTATTGTCATTTTTGGTCCCACGACTATTATGTCAATAACACTTTTGGTACTCGACTTCTAATTTTTTCATTTTTAGTCCTCGACTATTATGTCAGAGACACTTTTAGTCCCTGACTTCAAGTTCTTCCACATTCAGTCCCTGAGTATTGTCATATTAACACTTTTAGGCTCTATTTGCAATCACTTAAATAAGTGATTGTGACTTTTTTTAAAGAAAAAACACTTCTTTTACCAAACACCACCAACTTTTACTTTCTCGGTTTTTGTGTAGAATCTACTTTTTACTTTTTTCTATTACACAAAAAACACTTATTTTACCAAACACTACCAACTTTTACTACTAATCACATTTTCCCAAAAAGTGCTTTTATTTAAACACAAGTGATTGCAAATAGAGTCTTAATCCTCACATTGTGATTTTGACACAATAAGTAGAGGATTAAAAATGTCACTATTATAATATAAAAAAAGGATGACACATCATCCCTGTGGAAGATCAAAAGTGTTATTTTTATGAAAGTTAAAGGGCTAAATATGGAAATTTTGAAAGACGGGTACCAAAAGTGTCTCTAGCGCAATAGTCGAGGACTACAAAATGGAAAAAAAAAACAAAAACGAGTACCAAAAGTGTCAATGACATAATAGTCGGAGGACTAAAAGTGGAAAAAACTCTACTTTTTATTTGGATTTGATATAAAACAAGAGTATACATGGAAAAGTCAAAACAAAACTCTATCTTATATAAATGTATGTGTAAATCAAACACAGATCTTTATTTCGGGACGGAGGGAGTACTAATTAGCTATTCTCCTCACACATGAATTCTTTTGTTCTAAACACACTACTTTTGAGTTCAAGAAATTGGACTCAAAATGGACAGTTATGATTATTACACAGTGCCCTACTTAATGGAAACCACATGTCCTAAAACTTCTACTGGAATTTTATAACCAAGAAATGGAAACTTTTATTGCATTTGTCTCTAAACTTTAAAAAAACATGAGAACCTCAATTTACTAAGGAAACAAAGAATTTGAATGATAGCTTTAAAACGTACTAAGTATGAAAATGAAACTGTGAACTTTATCATGAACATAGAGAATATAGAAGGTTATTGTTCTAGTTCTATGGAATGGAGGATCGAAATCAGCAATTCTGATTCCGGAAGCGAAATCCCTTTAATACAATGTGTGAATGAGGTCAAAACCAAAACCGTAATCATGAATCCTACAGAAATACAGAATGGCTATAGTATTACTATCAAGGTTCTTAGTTGTTTGGAACCGAACTGTGTCCAGCTCTACGTAACTATGTTGCAATATGCAAACGTTTTCAAATTGAATCTTTATTATGTGGATGGAATTTGAACTGGTGGTATTTAATGGAGCAAATTAAAGAAGTGTTCTCTTGCTGTTGTATTTTCTATTTTTTACCATAGCTATAAGCCAATAAGTTTAGCTTCTAAATCCACCAAAAGTGCATTTTTTCAAACTCAAGTTTACGAAAAATGCTAATCCAAACAGGCATCAACACATACATATGCAAGTTCTTATGATTATTTATATAGTTTTTGCATAGGCAGAAGAACCCCTCCATTCCTCAAGAGTGTCCAAGGAGGGAAGGCTTGTAGAAAGCACCGCTTTGTGCAATCTCTATCCGATCCCGGGGATCATTCAAGTTTTCATCCCTTAGTGCTTGGAGAATAGCTTGCACCTTTTCTTGCCTGATGTTACAAAAACAATAACAAAGTCAGAGAATAATATAAGGGGCTGTTTGATTCATGTAAATTTGCAAAGAAATACTATAAATCATCCACGAGTGCGTGGTCTCTGCTTTTAAGTAGGCCAAAAGGTAATTAGAAGTGATTTACCTTGTTATAAGTATTTTGTACAACGTCTTCAGAATGGGGCAAAGCTCAACCGGAGCAACTGGCTTGTTCTCCCCAGGATGCAACACACTTAAGCTGGATTGACTTAGAAGTTCATAAAATGCTCCTACAGCTGAAACTCCCTGACAGATTTGGTTGGGGTGGAGTTGGTGCCGAACACAGGTTAAATTAAAACGATGTTTGTTGTGATGAAAACATATAAATGTATATTGTGCTAAATGTCCTCATTGGGCTTCATGGCCTAAAAGGCCCGGTTAATTATATGTAATTTGTTTTGTTTTATGTACTCCGTATTAGATTAGACTAGTATTCTACACAATTAGGATTAGCTGTATGGCTCTATATTTGTATAAAAAGGACTTATCAATGCGTAGTTTCAAAATCTTTGCCAAATTATTCTTCCAATTCTTTTCGAGATTCTCACAGAGCCATTGCTACTTGAATCTTAAATAAGCAGAAACAGCATAAGAGCCGATCAAACCTTAAAACCTAGGTAATAAGATTAGAGTCATTAGACAGTACATTAAAGTAAAGTTCTTTCTTATTGGACGATAGGTAGGACATGACCCTTCAAGGCGACAAGGTGTTATGCCATCGCACATCAACCCAATATAAAATACTGACCTTTGAAGGTGGGACCGCAAGTCTTAATAGAGATTATAAAATTTTTAAAATTGATAACCCTAACTAGCCAAACTACATTTAAGTGTCAGAGTATGAATTTCAGACTTAAAACATATACTAAGGATGAATGTCTCTTGAAAGAAAGGATTCCAGTTTGGTTTCAGGTGTAGATGCAATGAAGCAATCTCTCAATTTGATTGAAGAATCAGAATAAAGAATACCTGAATTGTCCCTTTGCCACTTATGCTGTCTCCCAGATCCAGACTGAGTTCTCCCGTAGCAATCATTTGGCCATACCAAGAATTGCGTCCTTTCAGCAGTGTCACGTATGTGTCAGCAAGCAGCGGCCCAGCAAGCCTTTCGGGTTCTTCAGTCAATAAATGGGTTATAAATATCATTTCCGAAGTACAGTGAGCAAAATATACTGATTTGCTAGTAGCACTTTCATTAGTCAGAGAAGCCACCATTCCTGATAACAATAATAACCAAATTCAAAACGCATGTCACAATCATCCTTCTACAGAATTTGTATATGCACTCATTTAACATACTGAGAAAAATAAAGTCTTACCAGCTCCAATGGCATAGACATTTTTCAGACCTCCCATAACTTCATGGGTAACAAGGTCACTATTATCCCAAACAATGAAATGGGGTTGCCTCAAGAACTTTGCAAGTGGTTTTCTCCATTTCTCTGACCCACATATCCGAGCATTAGCATATTCCTTGTTGTAGATCTCTGAGGCAATATTTGGGCCACCGAGATATAGAATATTCTCTATTGGTACTCCAGCTGCCCAAAAAAATATTACACTCTTAACAAAATCTACAACTTTTTTATTCTATGAGGGGTCTTTTTACACAAAGTCACAAACCCTATACGGTTCCGCTCATAAAGGTAAGTTTGTATAAACGATTTTGGAGGTATTGATATATAGTTGAGGTTTTTTGGGGAAAAAGTTAAATTAACACAATACGTGATCATATAAAATTTTAAACGTCTTGTATTTATTTTTAAAAAGACTATTTATCAAGAACTCATGAAACAGATGCTAATGGGCTACTTCTACAACATTAGATGCATTGAAATTATATGATTAAATTTCTTAATTTGATCTGGTTCACTCAAGTAGATCATAACACATAAGTCAAATCATATTAAAAGATTGAATACAAATGATTGATTAGTCCAACCCGATGCCATATAAAGTCAAATGTCACTCTAATATTTCGATCTATTCTTAGCCGCACACATGAATCAAGCAATATACAATATCAAATATGTTTTTATAGAGGGAAAGGTAAAGACGTACTTGCTCGGTTTATCATTTGGGTGGGTGTAATTATACGAGGAAACGGATCTAATTCAGCTTCAATGCCCTTAGCCAAAGAGATGATAATCGGGGAAGTCAATCTCTCTTTCCAGTACTCACCAATCTTCTCAAACACTTCACGGGTTTCAGTTGAAGGCAACCCATTGACCACTATATCTGCATCCCAAACCGCCTCCTGCAAGTTGGTTACAACCTTCAAGGGACAAAGTGGGGAATCAATCATGTTCAAGCAAAACCCGTCTTTCAATATTTCATCCGCATATAGTGTCCGGTCGCCCAACCTTGCCTCCACGTATTTCAAGTACGCACAACGCCTAATCAGCCTCCTCAACACGTCCTCTCTTGAGTTGATAACCTCAAACAGGTGTTTGGCTGTGTCTCTATCCACAGCCCTCCCTGCCCTTCTCCATATCCGAATTTGGACCTTATCACGAAAAGGACCATAACTGTCCTGAAGCAATGCAACAAAAACTGCACCCCAAGCCCCGGCCCCCACCCCTACTATCCTCAGCAAGTCACTATCGGACTTTCCAATTTTTTGTCGGATTTCATCTAGTTTTTCCTCCAAGCCGTTCGGGTGGTTATTGGGTACACCCATATCTGTTTGGAATGTGACCAAACCCAAATCCACAATTCTTCGAGGCTGACTATTAAGAATAGTTTTGAAAGATCAAAATTCACTTCACCATTGCAGATTTTTTAGGCGGCTCAATGCTTTCCTCTTGCTCTCCCCCTCATCAATGGGTTCTTGAATAGAAAATGAAGCATATAACTACGAAAAAACTGGTGGAAAATCCCAAATCCAAAATAAATAGGTTTATCTCAAATGCAATAAAAATGTAATCTTTCCTTCTCCCTCATCAATTCTCGAAGTCTACTGTGATAGCACAACCTCAAAACCTATGCAAAAAAAAATCATATCTTGTAAGGTAAGCAATATTCCAGATGTGGGATAATCTCACAGAAATTCTACCTGAAATCGACCAGAACAGGTGATTTAAAGTGCTAACAGTAAAAGACAAATCTCAGCATTGTAGTGTCCGCCTGAGTTGGTTCATCTACCCAGCACAAAATAGTTAGTTCACAAGCAGAATAAAGGAAGGGATAAATAACGGAGAAAAGGAGAGTGACAGAAAACAAACCTTGACCGACCTTTGATTAAGTCAATATAGCTGGAAAATGGAAACCCATCAATACATTGTACACGCCAAGAGAACACATCAGAGTTGCATGACGATGTACGAAATAAACCGAAGTGAGTTGAGTAGTTGACCCTGTTTCTTGACAAAAGTGACCAATTTGCCATTGTTAACCTGCGAGTTCAAAAAAAAATTAAATACTACTCCGTAGCTTTGAAGGAACATGACATAAGCATTTAGGATGTTTTTACAGAAATTTGTTTATCTAGAAATAATGTCTGGTCTCTTTGTATTTTTATAACTATTCAAATCTGGTCTGGTGTGGTCTGGGATATATTACAATCCAAGTAAAAACATCTTTAAACTTTTATATCTAATTTAAATACTTCAAATTATATATAAAAAGTTATTTTAGCATTATAATCATGTATTATTTCTTTCAAAAATGTAAATTTATATTATTAATTGCATAATATAAAATAGCAAATTAAAAATTCAGCAATTTTATAGAGTGGGAGCAGTATTATTTATCTTATAATGTAAGTTTAGAATGTTAATTGTATCTTCATGAATCCTAAAAATATTTTAAAATTATGAAATTAACACCAAAAATTGACATTTTCAAAAGAAATAATACATGACCATGATGCTAAAGTAACTTTTTATATAAAATTTGTGTATTTAAATTACATATGCAAATTTGGGATGCTTACCTCACACTCATTCAAAGTTTATGATATTTTAATTATTTTTTGCAAAATCTAAACCAAGTTATTTTACTTGTATTGAGGAATAAACAAATTAATAGGCCCCATGTTTGGTACCTATTTAGTTTTTGATTATTTTTTCCAAAATCTAAACCAAGTTATTTTACCTGTATTAAGGAATAAACAAATAGGCCCCATGTTTGGTACCTATTTAGTTTTGAATTCTTTATTACGGATGGATATACTTGTATGATATATTCCCTCTCTCCCCAAATAACTTAACCACTTTAGAATCTGTTTGGTGATCAAATTTTGGTGATCAAATTTTTAAACAGTGTTCTAAAAATCGTTATAGCATCCGATTAGTCTTTTTTTTTGGCGATTAAAGGGTATGGATCGATAAAATTATTGTTCCATAACAATGCCAGGGCATTGCACCTCTAAAAATGATCTCCACTATTCCATTACCAAAATGCTTACAACTTAGAAGATAAGTAATCACTAAGAACATCATCCCCACGAATCAATAAGAACATTTATCCCTTAAGTAATTGTCTCAAATAGGACTAAAATAATGGAAAAGTTCTAAAATAGGAGTTACTCTTTATTTATTCCGCAAATGGAAGTTTTAGTTCATCGGTCCGTTACTAATTTCCGATTCTACCCTCCTTACAATTATTACTCTGAATTAATTTTTCAGACTTATCTTTTCCCTTTGTCAGACTTTCTCCCGCACGTTCTGGTCTCTCCCCTCCCTTCTTCCCGGTCTCATCTCTCTCCATTCTTATTTCTGATTTCTCCTCTAGCCAGTTTCTCCCATTGTTTCATCTCCATCGAACTTCTCTCTTTTCCATCGCTAGCTGACAACAAAAGGTTTAGACGGTTAATTTCTCCCCATCTCCGGCCAACAGCGTGCGACGGCAAAGGTAAGTTGTCTTCATCTTCTTTCTTCTTATCTTCTTCTTCTACTCCTTCTTCCTCAATTAGTGAAGCAATAAAAACTCTTAAAAACTCTTCAATTTATTTCTCTTACGGCATGCATCTGAAGTTTGCTATTTATGAGATACTATACGTATTGAAATTGAAGAGATATATGTGTCTTGCCTCTTTTCCCTTGTAGAAACTTGATTGCAATCAAATTTTTTATTTTGTTTTTACTTCAATCTTTTCTCTATTCCCAGATCTACTCTTATCAAAAAAATTCTCAATTTCTTTTGTTTTTTTTCCTCTTTTTACTTATCCAGCTTTTGCTCTTTTTAAATTTTTATTTTACCTTTACAATATACATAGTACTTCGTATGTAGATTACAGACTATTTCTTTGCACTATTTCCGTCAATTTTGTTTGTGACTTCTCACATTAATTTTTTGATTTGAATGTGAAGTTACTACTTTAAATACTTTTTATGGTATTAAAATTAAATGTAGTGTTAGGAATACATCTTTGCAAATCAAATACTAAAAGTCATATTATCCATTTGAAAATATTATTTCAATCCCTAGTGCCATATTTTATGATTTTGATACAATGTCAATAATGCCATGTTTTTCTATGTGAAAATATTATTTAACATTTAGTGCCATTTTTATTACACTAATTCCAAAAACATTACAAATAATGCCATGTTCTTTTATACATAAAAATGTTGATTTTGCACATAGTGTCATTTGTAGGGCACTAACTCTGTTGTGATGACAATGTTTTTCTCTTGCAAATCCAACAACTATAATGTCATAAATATGTCAAAATATTATTTAAATCCCTAGTGCCATTTTTTATGATTTTATTACAATAGCAATGGTGCCATCTTTTCAATGAAAATTACTCTTTTGCAAATACAATGTCAATAATTCCATGTTTTTCTATGTGAAAATATTACTTAACATTTAGTGCATTTTTTATGACACTAATTCCAAAAACATTACGAATAATGCCATGTTCTTTTATACATAGTGCCATTTGTATGACATAACTCTGTTGTGATGACAACATTTTTCTCTTGCAAATCCAACAACTATAATGTCATAAATATGACAAATAACACTAATATTTATATTCTCTGTTTTGATATTACCAATAGTCATATAAATCACTTCTTCCAGATCTGAGATCTTTATTGGTGAAGCCAAAGTTGATGGTTGTGCTATAAGAGCTGTGGTGACGAACAAAGAGACAACTGCACTGGATCCGGTGGCGGCGGCGATGGAGAAGGCGACATTGATGACGGCAGCAACGACAGTGAGTGGCGGCAGAGACACCAGACAATTGCGACACCGACGACGGAAGCAGTGATAATGATGGATATTGCAGCGGCAACGGCGGCCAGTGACGGCCGGCGGAAACAGGGGGTGGCCGGAGACGGCCGACAGTGACCGGCGGCAGCAAGTATAGCTGGTGTAAATCCTGGGGGTGCTGGCGAGTGGCGACGACCGCTGGATTGTGGTTAGGGTGGACATGAGGGAATTGATGTACGGTACACCGGTATGGCATACCGAAAAAATCATGAGGGAATTGATGAGGGGTGGTATGGCATACATGAGGGAATTGATGAGGGGTGGTTCGGTATGGCATACCGAAAAAATCATGCCATACCGTATACCGTACCGAAATACCGGTATATGAGAATTTCATACCGTTACCGTACCGAAAGTTCGGTATACCGAAATTTCGGTATACCGAACTTTCGGTATCACACATCTTCATACCGATGCCGTACTGAATATTCGGTATACCGAAACTCAACCACGGTATCGGTATACCGAAAATATAAATATATATCACGCCTAAAACTCATAAAATTATTAATAAAAATTTATAATAGATACTACATAGATACTAAATTCTTAAAAAATAAATACAATCAAATTATAATCATGTTCGGACCGTTCAAGTCTACCACACTTAAAAGTTAAAACGTCATGGTAAACAAATTAATTCCAACAAGAGGTACATTAAAACACATATTTAAAAACAGTTCAAGCATAACATTCATTCATATATACTTCGTATAACACATATAAAGCAGCCCAAAATCTGAATTCCCTATGATCAATGAATTGGTGGTTGTCAGTTGATCATTCCTCAAGTCCTGAAAGAAAGAAAAAAGGTGAAAAAGGAATGTAAAAATCTACTAGGAAATTCAGAAATGTGCTCTGTATACCATTATACGTAGTATTATATTAATATAAAAATTGAGAATTTAAATGTAAACTTAATCAAATAAAAACACTTTATTTGTTTCAATTTCATCACTTTCTTAATCAAGGTCATAATCAGTTGGATACTTATTAAAAACTTTACTCCACTACTCTCAACCAATCATTGGTAAAGAACTCAGGCTCACTATTAAACAAATGAAAAAATATCTGGAATCAACTATTTAGTAATATATGACCTACTAAAGTTTGGAATTAAAGAGGCTAAGATTTTGAGAAAGCTCTTAACTTCGCCTAACTTAAAACATCTCGGTACCCAAGAGCGTTGATATGCTTATGATGCATTCATGAACTCCATATTCTAAAATTAAAAGACAATCCAGAAACAATAAATACATTGAAAGGTTAATGTGTTTAATCACTAAAAAGAAGAAATACGATTAAAAGTAACCGTGTCTATGAGAAGATGCAGTGCACTGGCTGCTTTGTTACCGCCGACCGCCGTTGTTGGCTTTACTCTGTACGTAATGCTCATTTAAACTACAAATTGGGTAAACCGAAAGTTAAATTAGAAATTGAAATAAAAGATGAAGTAAAACAATAACTGATTTTTTGTTAAGTTTTTAAAAATCTACTAATACCATAGCAAACTCATGCGGAAGCCCGCAAAAAATGAAAGAGAACCGGAACCGTCGTCTGAGAAAATGTGTACAATGAGATGTGCGAGCTACCTGATTGTTTGATGTATCCCTCCGACCATATAGACTCTAGTATCTTCATCTATATCCATGAGTTTCATGGATAATCCTCAAGAGATGAGAACACGACTACGATTGGAGACTCAGCCGACGCATTGAAAACCCTACAGGTTAGAAACTAGGGTTAATGACAGTGTGGGATACTCTTTAGCCAACTTATCATTCGGATTTGGATCTTTGGAATTGGACCGTGCCTCAGCATATGCGAAGGATATATTGGGTCATTGGGCTGCTTAAAGCCCAAGAAGCAAATGAAGTAAATACTAAAAAATATGGAGTTTTCTTTTATACATACGGTATTTCGGTATATACCGAAATACCGAAAATTTGAAAACTGCATACCGATACCGTACCGTAACAGTTCGGTATGATACCATACCGTACCGAAATTTTCGGTATACCGAAATTTTCGGTAAATTCGGTTTTTTTCGGTACGATAAATACGGTATTTCGGCATTTCGACATTTTTCCCCAGCCCTAGATGTACCAGTAGTTTAATACGTAATATTCTATTTTCTATTTTTAATTGAATAAAACTGAGTATTCATTAAGGGTATTTAAGTCAACTCATTCCTTTGTTACTCCTACGGAAGTACATGAATTATTGAGCTCCTAGTTTTGCACTTTTGTTAACTTTTACTCTTAGTTAGGGAATTATCTCTTATCCCTTCCTTCCTCTAAGATAAGTTCATTTACTCATGCAGCACTCCCAAGATATCTTCATCCCTAAACAAATGGAACTCTTTATCATCCAATTTCACTTGTGTGCCACCATAATTAGGCAAGAGAACAATGTCACCTTCTTTGACAGCAACTGGTACATGCTTCTCGGACTCGTCACGAAGTCCAGGACCCACCGCCACAATCCTCCCGGTGTTCATCTTGGAGGATTTCTCGGGCAGGAGAATACCGCCGGTGGTCTTAGCCGGAGTGTTGATTTTCTCCACCAAGACTCTGTTGAGAGTTGGGACAAGGTGCTTCCACGACATGGCTGGCTGGATCGGCAGCGTTTGCTTGTTGATTCGTTGTCTATAGCATCCGATTAGTCTTCCTCTAAGCGTTAGGCGGTGGTCAAAGCGCCTCGATTCTAGTCTAGGCGCTCCGACTAATTGCTTTGACGTCTCGGTGAATTAGTCGGCCGCCTAGGGCGTCTAGTTTCCCTCCCATAATGCTTAATTGGTTGCTTAAGCGTCTAGATTTATCGAACACTTTACTTTTTTTGTTTGGTATTCTAAGAGATATGTGTACCTTTAACTTTAACACCGTATATGAAATAAGTTACTACTTGTAGATTAAGATAAAAAGTATACAAGTTTATATATAATCTTATGTGCTGTTATGATTTAATAATATTTATTACATGATGAAGTTAAGTAGGTAGGTATATTATATTATTACCTGTAACAACTCTACCATCCATGCATTTTAATTTGTATGTGTGTGTACTTTTTATATACATACAAACACAACATTATTAATCATATTTATGTAAAAAAAATGATGAAGCTATAATTTCAATGTCCCCGCCTAGGCACCCACCTAGGCGCTGGGCTGACGCCCGACTAGCGTCTAACGGCTTTTAGAACATTGTTATTAAGTTTATCAGTTTTATGATTTTATCAATCAACTTTTTTTTTTTGCTTTTTTTTGTGATTTATAATCACTGGTTTTTAAATACAAAACCTAAGGAGCACGAACCTTGAGTCGTTCCGAAGTCTACTACTGCTCTCGTGTTCTCTTCGGTTAGAGAGAGGAGCGGCGAAGGGGAAACCCTAGCCGCCTCCTCTCCTTCTTCTCTCTTTGTTCAATTTTCTTTTGCTCCCAATAATGAAAAAAGTTTTCTTAGATCAATATTTTCAGTTCTATGTATACGTCTGTTTCCTAGCCTTGTCTAGAGATACTACTTTCGGTGGCGAAGTGTTGCTCGCCAGATTTATATTCCCCGCCATCATCGGTCGGGTGTTCTTGGGTGTTAGTAAGAGATGTGTATTGGCTTCTCTATCGATCATGATCTTCTGTATCAATATAGAGGCTGATCGCCCCAAAGTAAAATGGGAATGTGAGTGAATGGATTGCTTTCTTTCCGGTGCCTGGTGAAACCGGA